ATGTCGGCAGTAAGTGATTTTACTATCTCGGCCGCTTTCGTGATTGCAAGGATTTCTGCTTGAAAAACGCTACAAAAATAGTTGAGTTTATATATATAACTCATATGTTTCTAATTCACTACAGTAAACACCTGCACATGTGCCTTCCTCCATCTTTGAATCGTCTGTAAATAATGACAGACCTGGCAGAGGTAAGGAGCCAATAGTCTAGGATTCCCTACTAGGAAACTCTACTTTTATGCCATTAAAGTCTCTATGAGAGGGAACATAGTCACTAATATATCTATTTCCCCTCAAGAGGTCACAACCTGGCGTTATGTTTAGGATACTAGCGTGACCGTAGTTCAGCGATTTCAGGCATCCGTTTCCCGGAGCACACCTGGGCGCCTGGAATTTAATCAGAATGTCCAGTGGTTGGAGATTCAAGCAGTCCTTTCCTCGACACTCCTATTCCACCTTAATTTGCGGTCAAGGATAGTACGAAGGTATTTTGCTTCTTCAGAAAGGGTTAGGATCACTCCTTCCAGTTATGGCAGGCGGAAATTAGGAATCTTACGTTTCCTAGTGAGCACCAATTCTGCCTTAGTGGGGTTTACACCAAGACCTTTGGCGTATGCCCAGTTCGACTTTAATGACACAAATCGAAGAGACGACGATTATTCACATACGCTTCAATAGCAATATTATATACTGCTTTTAATAAAATGTACTGTATTGAATTCTGTATGGAATTCTATTGGTTTCAATATCCGCAAGAAATTTGTGTCTATTGGCATCGTAGCGCCCACTTCCAACTTCGTCATCAGATAGCCTGTCTGATAGATAGTTATATAAATATTGTAATGTCCAATAATGTCTAATTCTAGCAGTGTTAGTCTCTGTTCTGTCAAATTATATGTAGTTGTACGTTTTCAGAACCGATTGATCGTTGAAACCTCTACGTAAGATGTACAGTTTACAGAGGTCTCGAAAAAATATCTCAATGTTGATTTTTCGCAAGGACCCCTCCAATTGCTGCAACCACTGAAACCCGTTTGTCGTTTTTTTTAACATTTTCAGCAGTTCTTCATTTATGTTGGTGGATATTAGTAATGGGAACTGAGGCTTCAAATAGAGCAATCTATATCTTATAGTAATCGGGAAGATCACTTTCTACAGGAGCAACAATTTTCGAATTTGGTCCTCAGTGGTAAATTTTGTCACGATCACTAGGCTAGATGCTTCAAATATATCCTCTCCACAGGCCGTAACGTTTCATTTGATCTATAATACAGCAGTGGGCAATTTTTGAAAACTTTTCTTATAATCGCTTATCCAATTAATTATCAATTTCCTGATTTTTAAGTGACCAATCAATATTATAACACATTTTGTGTAAATTTAATCATCACGAATAAATTCTGCAAATTTTTATGATTCACCAAATATGTGTTAAGTAATTAATCTGAATATTATTATCGTTGGGTTATTTCAAAACCTTTAAATCCAAGCAAACATAAAAAAGTAGTTAGGCCAGCAAAGAAAAAGTCCCTACTAAACAAAAACATTTTAAATGATATGCATGCACGCTCATAACTGTTCATGTTAGGCGCCGTCACTTTGCTGCCAGTAATCGTGAACCAAATACGACGTATACAAATTAATAACCGGCAAACAAAAATAAATTTTACACAAAATATTTGCATGACCAAGATAATGAACGATCGAACGAACCAACGAACGATTCACCATCGTTACCAATAACAAAAAAAGGAATAGAGTCAACCTTCAAAACAAAATTCCATTGATACGCAAAAGATTCATAAATAGAATATCAATCATACATTATTTGACGAAACGAAACGAATGGAAAAATAAATGTTATTTCTTTCTGGGAATCAATAGCACAGCACCTAAATAAATACCAATTCTCTTTCTTCTTCATTAAAACTGTGGTGCCATTTTTGTGAGCTTAATGTTGTATGCAAGTCGTGAAAGTAATCTAAGGAAAAATAAAATGAATTAACAATAACATTTGCTATTTAAATACCTTTTTTTCAAAATCACATGCAAAAAGCACTGCTCTAATAACAACAACAACACCACCAACGATAATAATAATAAAAAATCGTCACAAACATGCTGTGTGCTAGTGTATAGTAATTTCAGTTTTCGTTTGTTTGTTTGGATTTCATTGACGTTCGGTCTTTTATTTTGAAGTTAACACGAACCATAAACACATTTCAGATGCTAATCGTATTCACATTTTGGCCACCATTCATAGTCGTCGCGGCCGCATTGTAGCCAGAAAACTAATTCATGGTTATAATACTAACTAACCAACCAATTGGCGGGCTGACTGTGAATTATGTTTGTATGTAATTCATTTTCATATAAGGAATCATAATACTGTTGTATGTATGGCATTGCTGATGGTGATGATGATGTTGGTGATTCATTAGTTGTGTTAAATTTGTTTTGCATTCTGTTGGTATTTGCATCCAATACCGATGGAATTCCATATAAAAATGAGGTGATTTCAAGGGAATTAGTTATTGGGGAAAACAACATTTTTTGCAGAATTTAGTTTCTATAGAAAAAATGCGATTGAATTGAGAAATATTTCATTTTAAAATTCGTTAATAAAATTTGCATTTTTGGATATGGACCAAAATTGTTGTTATGTTTAGCAACATTTAGTATAGAAGGATTATATGATTCCGATGGTTTGCGAATGTAAGCGATACGCATTTTTTGACAGGGTGTGGACATCTCCATTAGAAGCCAAAAATGATTTCGACTGGGGGCGTTATCGTCGGGAATTCCCTTATGCACAAGCTTCCAAGGCACGTTACGAGATATCTTCATGATCTAGGTAGAGAGATCAATCAATATGACTATGTGGTAGTTGTAAATAGCATTCACCAAAATGCAGTCGCCCAGACAGGAGAGCAATACCCGCAAGACGGTACTCTCTCTCCCATTTTCATGCTCTCAAAAGATTGATTTTAATTGCCTTTTAGCAGGCATTTTGGGTTAATTTCTTTTATTTTGCATTTTTTTCTATATATCTTCTTGATTTCATCTTAAGATATATACCCGCCTGGGGTAAAGTTAAGGAAACCTTGATAAAGGCGAATAATGACATCGATAATTCCATCTTCAATTTTGCAATCCCAGTCTGCACTTGCTTCCTTAATCGCGCACAGTGCAGACATCACAGAAAAATGTACTCCGAATAGTAATGGGTTATGTCCAAACGATGTGCATCGATCTCCTCCAAGAGAAGACCTCAATGCTGTCAGTTAAACAACATAATGTGTGGTGGACTAGAAAATTCCTGTTGACAAGCTATATGGCGTGCCATCCTAACAGAGCCCTCCACTCGTTGATCACCCTTATGGATGACAGTTTCTGTCAGGATGTTCTCAGTAGCCCTTTCCTTTGCCTTTTGAGTTGGGTTAGGCTTCAGGTTAGGCTTCGGATCAGAAGTCGGCTTCACAGAGACAGTGGGATTTGCCGATTCCACTACTTTACTCTATTCAGAGATCTCCTTGGAGATTTTTGATCGCGCAGCTAGATTTGTGAGGGTCGGTCAACAATGTCTACGCTTCCTTCATTGAGGCTATAAAAATCCCCCTGTGTAAACTTGGCCGAAATCACCGTGGTGTCCAGTTCATCATCAGTCAGGGTAAGACTTAGTAGCAGTTCCTCCGGAAGCGAATCCCTACATTGCCCTGTCTAACTGCTCGAAGATTTCCCTACTCTGCTCCCCTAAAATATCGCGGATAGCGTTAAGGGTCCCGTGTAGGTCGTCCCCTCCCAGAACTACAGTCCTGTCAATCATAGACTGATTTGCATCAGTCTTGACTTACTCGTTTACCAATTAAATTGCCGGTTCGTCAACGTAATTCGGCTTTGAAATTGATGCGCTTGTAGCAGATACAGCTGCAGGTGGCAAGCAGTCCGATCAAAATTGCTTGAGCTCGACGACACGTGGCTTGTGACCTCGCCAACGATTGCCGCCGGTAGTGGGTTATTAACTCCCTGCACCGTAACTTTATTCCTTTTGTTCTTCTTGACAATTATGTATGTAATTAATTTGAGGGCACTACCCCGAACCATTTTGGTCCACGGGGGATCCGAAGATTCCCACGTTCAGAGAAAAGTTGACCTACTTCCCATCCGCCACCAAGAGATTTGTAACTAGAATGTGGATATAGCAATGTTCTACACTCATATCACCTCCGGTTTTCCTTCCAATCTTCAAAGATCTCACGACACACATGATTTATTTAATAGTCCAACCAAACAAAGAAATTCTTCGGCTACATTCCCAATTCCGCAGTTATACGAAGGATTAAATAAGCGGTCACTATTGCAGTGACATAATAACAATACATTTTGAGATTAACGGCCAAATAGATTTTGAGTTCTAAATTCCGGTTCTTATTCCATCTCGTTTTCTCGCTGCAAATCTAGCGGATTTCCGATGATTGAGAACAAGAACATGGATCTTATTGGAATATGTATTTTAATATTAGGGCATATATCTTTTTTATTTTTGGGCAATAATTTGTGTTTAAATCCTTAAGATCTGAAAAATATTTTCAATTTCATATATCTTTTTGTGGTATTTAATACAAATCCATTTTTATGCCAGTGCTCAACTACCAAAAAAATGCAACAAATCAGTCCGCTATCAAAAAATTTTCCCACTATCGGCTGCTAAAACGTGAATCATCGATCTTTTTTCAGCGTTTTGTCGTTGTGTGAAAGTAGTCTCTTTTTTTGCAAATAACTTTAAACTTTTTCAGTGTGTTTGTTGTTGTTGTTACTTATTGTTTTTGAGATAACAAAAATAATGGTGGTCAATCATAATTGAATCTTTTTCTTTAATTTTGATAACGAAAATCTTTCTTTTCCTTCTTTCTTTCCTTTCAGGAAATAAAACTATTCCCCGTTTAGCCGAAACTACGGTTTGTTGTTTTTCTTGGATTTAAAAAAAAAAAATCGCCCAACACAAAAAGGAATAACATGAGCCATGCCTTCGGCACGACCTGGTAGTCTTAAAGATCCGGAAATAGCAGAACTATTCTACAAACATGATCCAGAAAAGATATTTGAGGATTTACGAGAAATTGGTCATGGCTCCTTCGGTGCGGTGTACTATGCACGATGCAACCTTACCAAAGAAATTGTGGCCATTAAGAAAATGTCCTATACGGGCAAACAAAGTTTGGAAAAGTGGCAGGATATTCTCAAAGAAATCAGGTAAGAAATATCCCACACACGCAAAACAATCAACAAACAACTAAAATAATTTTTCTCTCGTTTTTTTAGATTTCTTCGTCAATTGAATCATCCAAACACAATCGAATATAAAGGTTGTTATCTACGCGAATCAACAGCATGGCTTGTTATGGAATATTGTGTCGGTTCGGCCTCCGATATTATTGAAGTTCACAAAAAGCCATTACACGAAGATGAAATTGCCGCCATATGTGATGGTGTACTCAGCGGGCTGAGCTATTTGCACAGCTTGGGTCGTATACATCGTGACATAAAGGCTGGAAATATTCTGCTCACCGATTGCGGTGTTGTAAAGTTGGCAGATTTTGGCAGTGCTGCCATTAAATGCCCGGCCAATAGTTTTGTCGGCACACCATATTGGATGGCGCCTGAAGTTATTTTGGCCATGGACGAGGGCCAATATGATGGTAAAGTGGATGTATGGTCATTGGGTATAACCTGCATTGAGTTGGCCGAACGTAAACCGCCATATTTTAATATGAATGCCATGTCTGCATTATATCACATAGCCCAAAATGAATCACCTACGTTACCCGTAAGTTTTCGTTCTTTATTTTGTTCTTTTCACTTTTTTGTTTTTGTTATTCGCAAACAGATAATTTGTTGTTATTCGGCAAAAATAGCAATGGTACTTTGGTTATCACAGTCGTTTTAAATAATTTTTAAATATTTAATCCATAAGTAGGATTATTTGATAGTTCTGTTATATTGGATGATATTTGGCGAATGCGAAGACATATTTTCTTCTTCTACTGCTCTGAAGAAAACGATCGACAGGGGTTAATACTCGGAAATACCGAATGTTTTGTCATGTTCCCTTTTTGTCCATCAGGTTATGGTATATCCCACAACCGTCCCTCTTAGAGAGACATATTGATTAATTTGGCCATCCTAAAATACCTTCTAAAAGAAGAAAAATAGAAAAGATAAAAGGGGAAGATATATGGGTTACATACATGACAATTTTTTTTTTTCAAATATGTAATCATTTTCCATTTCCATTTCATTTATTAAGCATAGTAACAAAGCCAAATAGGCCATTTCAGTTACACAAAACAACATAACTTATACTACTCGAGAAACTTATACCTATAAAAAATAACATATCATAAAAATTCAATTATATATCCATAATAACAATTTAACATCAAGGTGATCTATCTCGGAGGTAAAGGTTCTCATGTCTATTAAACATTTCATACCTTATTTTTCGAAGCATTTCGAATTCGAATGACACCTACAGTAATCTTTAAATCTTTACTACGCCTTGAGATTGAGTACTATTCTAACAAGTTCACTGTCAACCTTGCGGATCAGACCAAGGAAGTAGCTAAGATAAACATCAATTGCAATATTGATTGACTGACATATACATCATCGTATATCTTTATATCGCTATGGCCTGGAACCCAACCAAAGCTAGCAAAATGACTTGCCAATCTTCTACTAGGCGCGTCTTCCAGGGTGGCGGACTCCATGATATGCAGAGTGAAACTGACCTAGGTCATCTAGGTCAACTTTTCTCTGCACTTCGTTGAAACCTTGGGAATCTTCGGATCCTCCGTGGACAAAAATGGATCGATGGGTAAACAGAGCAAAAAGAATAAATTTACGGTGCAGGGAATTAATAACCATGTACCGACGGCAATCGTTGGTGAGGTCACAAGCCACATGTCGAGATCAAGCGATTGTGATCCGGCTGTTCTAGGTGTGGATGCCTAGGCAGCTGTATCTGTTACAAGTGCATCAATTTCAACTCCGAACGAGCATGTCAAGACTGATAAAAATGAGTATCTGGTTGACAGGACTGTATTTCTGGGAGGGGACGACCTACACGGGACTCTAAATGCTATCCGCGATAGTCTAGAGGAGTAGTTAGACAGACTGTTACCGGAAGAGCAATGATGATGAGCTGGACACCACGGTGATCCGAGCCAAGTCTACACAGGGGGATTGGTGTAGCATTAACAAAGGAAGCGCAGACCCTGTTGACCGACCGACTTCAAATCTGACTACAACAGGTCCTGTGTCGGCACTTGTCGACTTCAGAGGCAATCTGTGACGGAGGCGATATCCGACGACCAGCAACGGACAGCGGCTCAAATGTTGGGAAGTCTCGAAAAGTATCTGATGCGAAGCATTACAAATGTGCTGTTTCGTATCCCCGCAAATTCGTGGGGCGAGACGCGAATATGATTTCGGAGAGGGAGGTTCACTTCATCAAGGGAGAGATGAACCATCAGTTATATTGACAGACCGTTCGGAGGTGGTTTAATGTATATCGTATCATAAGTCAACTCACTGCAGTCTTTTGAAATCCATGTTGAGTAGTAGTGGGTGTAGAACTAAAAGTTTTATATTGAAGAAGTAGGTGAAGAATTGAACACATCCACGAATCCCAATATTTTGCTCCTAGGCTTATACAACGAACAAACACAATAGGTGTTCGATGCCTCCTGTTTATTTTCTGTCTTCACACATCCCGCTGTAATCTAAACCATTTTGTCTGATTACATTAGTTTGATACTTACTGTCCGATTCTGTGACCTCCCTATATAATTATTTCGTTGGACTTATATAATATTTCATAATAATCCGTATCTCGTTGGTCAAATGAACTATTTATTCCAAAAGACGCAATATTTTAATTAAAATCTCAAAGAATGTGAGTGTAGTGATACCATTATCGCTTATCTATTGCCTAGACAGACTATATTTCTTTTTGAAATAAAAAACTGCATCCACTTTGCATAATTAAGGCAAGTTGGTCGCATTACAAGCATTACATAACTGTATATTGTGCACAGTGTGTCCACGGTAGCTATTAGGGTCTCTAATATTCTCATTTTGTCTTATTTGGTAGACCAAAATATCACCCAGATTTTCGAGTTCCGATGTTGCACTCTCCACCATGAGTCAACCAAAGAGTGTTCCAGTTGAGATAGTATTTCTCGCAAAAAATATACCTGATGATTAAAGTTTGAATTACTATTATTTTCTCAATATACTCTTCTTCCTATGATTTTCGATTTAAGACCTTACACATTTTTTTATTTTAATTTTCCGATATCTTATTATTACTACGTATTTTTTGTTACATTTTTTGCAGAAAAATGATTGGAGCGATACATTTTGCAACTTCGTTGATTTATGTCTCAAAAAGAATCCTGCAGAACGGCCATCATCGACAAAGCTACTGGGCGATCCGTACGTTACCAGACATCGTTCAGATACTGTACTACTCGAGTTGATAGCACGTACAAAAGCCGCAGTTCGTGAATTGGATAATCTCAATTATCGTAAAATGAAGAAAATTCTTATGGTTGATACCTGCGAGACTGAAAGTGCCGTTGGCGATACAGATGATACACAGGACGAGCATGCCGGTGGTGATAGCAGCAAGAGTAATAGTATTACGTCGGAACATTCTATACATTCAGTGGGTGTATCGGCGGCCAGTAGTCAAGTAGTAAGACTTTCACATGCACATATCTTTGTAATATACGTATGTTTTGACTGACTGTTTTTTTCTTTGCTTTTTGGGGTTCTTTTCAGAGCTCTTCGTCGAATTCAATACCACCTGCAACACAAAATCACATCGGTGGCGGTCCATATTCACAACAGCCACCGCATTTGGGTGCCATGAATTATCATCACCCACATCATCATCAGCAGCAACAAATGCATTCACAACAACAGCAGCATCAGCAGCAACAGGCAATAAGTGGTGCTGTTTCACGCAATTCATCACGTCAACGCAATTTGCCACCATTGCCTAGCATTATGCACAATATGAACAATAATGTGACACCAACTAATTCCACAGCTGTGGTACCAGCACCTGTGCCTCCACACCAGCAGCAGCAACATCAACAGCAGCCGCAACCTCCACATTCAATAATGTCATCCATGTCAATGGGCAGTGGACCGGGTGGTATGCCGCCACAGTCGCAACAGCAGCAATCATGTGGAAATATGTCGACCGCGGGTGATCGTATGTCTCAAACGTCACAACAACAGCCACCGTTACAGCCACCACGTTATCTCTTTCCGATACAAGCCAACGAACATGGTCCTAATAATTTTGCCACTATACGCACTACAAGTATAGTTACTAAACAACAAAAAGAACATATGCAGGTAAGATTTGAATATTTCATTGTTTATTGTTTATGAAAGATGATTGTGTGTGAGAAAAAAATGTTAAAATCATCATATTCATCGCTCCACTCCACTCACCTATTATTTAAAAAAAAGTTGACGAAGAATAATATTATATATAGGAATTTGGATTAATTAATTTGCTATTTAAAGGCTTTTGTGTTAACCACAGTTTCTTGGGATAAGGCTTGTTATTTCATTTAATTCTTCCGATATAATTATGGCATAGAACAATTGCGTTAATTGCGTTTGGTTGATATGAGGATTGATTTTTTTTTTGAAGTTGTTGAAATACTGCAATTTCAATTATTATATCACCGATAATGGAAAACTCTTGCAAAATGATTAAAACAAAAGATAATCCACAAAACCAGAGCCTAAGAATCGTGTGTATATATCGACAAACCAGCTAGAGGTAGTGTCACTAACATGAATCGACTGGACAGTGACTGGAGATTAAAATATACACGCAATATGTTAATAAGTGGAGAATCTATGTGGTGTACAACCAGTGTCCGATCTTTGCACCAGTAATGTGCTATTAGATCGTGTCAATATGTTGTCGTCGAGGACTATTTCGAAGTATTTGTCTTCTAATGATAGCGTCAAAGCCATCCTTTTCAAGATTGATAAGATGAATTTTGTGGGTCCAATTTGATAAGATTGCCAAAGTAGCTTTCATGATGATATCAGAGTTTGGCTTTATTTTGGAATGATCCCTCCCTCGTCCCTCTTAAAGGCATATTGTCTAGTTTGGCCATCCTAAAAGAACTTGTAAAAGAAGAAAGAAAAGTTAGAACGGGAAGATAGAGGGGTTACAAACATGACAATTTTTTCAAAAATGTAATAATTTTGGGATCTATCTCGGAGGAAAAGGTTCGAGTGTCTATCTCATATCTATTAAATATTTGCCTTCTTTTTCGAAGCATTTCACATTCGAATGACACCTACAGTAATCTTTACTACGCGTTGAGATTAAGGACCAGATAGATTTTGAGGTCCTCATTCTAACTAGTTCACTGTCAACCTTGCGGATCAGACTACGGAAGTAGCTAAGATAAGCATCAATTGCAATATTGATTGATATACATCATCGTATCTTTTTATATCGCTATGACCTGGAACCCAACAAAAGCTAGCAAAAAGACTTGCATATGATAGCTTTGAGGGCCGTTTGATTTTCTAATACTTCCTAAATTACCTGCTTGAAATACGCTGCAATTTTCGTTTGGTTTGAATGTTATTCACAGGAGACTCCCGCGTCTGTGTCATCTTGGGACCATCAGTATATATTGCCAGATGGTTTAATGTGTAGCATATCATTAGTCAACTCACTGCAGTCTTTTGAGATCCATGTTGATTAGTAGTGGGTGTAGAACTAACAGTTTTATATTGGAGAAGTAGGTGAAGAATTGAACTCATTCACGAATCCCAATATTTTGCACCTAGGCTTATAAAACGGACACAATAGATGGTTGTGTCTTCACACATCCCGCTGTAATCTAAGCCATTTTGTCCGATTACATTAGTTTTATACTTACAGTCCGATTCTGTGACCTACCTATAAATATTTCGTTGGACTGATATAATATTGCACAATAATTCGTTACTCGTTGGTCAAACTTGGCAACTTGGTCGCATTACAAGTAAGAGCTATCACTTATATTGTGCACAGTAGCTATTAGGGCCTCTAATATTCTCATTTCGTCTTAATTGGTAGTGTAAAATATCACCCAGATTTTCGATTACCAAAGAGGGGAGAGAGTACTCCTCGCTACGGCATGAGTCTGTTAACAGTATTCCTTGCAAAACTATACACCAGTACGGAATGCATAAATTTCAGTTTCGCATTGTTGGAAGCTCTTTTGATATCTAGGAACGTCATAATGGTGTAGCTGGAGAAATCTAAGGTGTGACTTGGTTTCCTGGCTTTTGGAAATGTTATTGACTACCAATGTACACTGTACTGTATTTTTTTTGCAGTGTAATTTTGTTGTAGTTTGTGCATCTACAATAAAAGCCAAATGCTAAATTTTTTTTTTGTCAGTAAATAAAAAGTCATTAGTGTAAGGGTTAACGAGATGTCCCTTGAACCACGACGACTATTTCAATAGAGGAAAATAATTGAGTCTACATCATATTTTCAAATTTCATTTCCGCTCATATAAATGTATTCCATTGGCATCTCTAATTATTCGTATGTTTGTACCACTTTGTATGATTCGTCTTAGACATATTTCCATCTCTATAACATTTTCATTATTAATAAAGAACAAAAAACAACGAAAAAACTATCGTCCTATTCTATATATTTTTTCTCATTTCTTTCTATGCGTATATTTATTTATATTTTATTTTGCAATAGGAAAACTATGTTTTGTGTCCAACCTTGTGCGGAGACAGTAGTAATTGTACGATATCATAGAACGATTATATGTGAACCAATCAATGACACGAATGTAAACGTTACCACCAACCACTTTTTTACAAACTCAAGCAAAAAAGAAAGAAAGACAAAAAACAAATGAAAAAAATTAGGCATCTTTAACAACCAAAACCAAAAAAACCTCAGACCACTATTTCTCTTGCTGACAATAAATAATTGGATTTATTTTTTGAAATGAAATGCCAAAAATAAAATGATTGAATGAGAATGAAAGAAAAACACACTAAGTAAATGTATATGCTAAACCTTTTATCCAATATTTTGTATTCTAAAAATCATTTACCCGCCTGCCCGATCGATCGCCCCTCATAACAACTACTATATCAACCAACATAGTATTTCTTCTTCATGCATAGAACTTTCTTCTACTCTCATTTGTTACTATGTTATTTCGTTCGTTCGCTCGTTCGTTTGTTGTGTTTTATATAGATTTTATTATACATATATTATAGGCTATACATGTGAATACAATTATAATGGATTGTTTTTTTATTAAAAAATTGTTAACCATTTTCCTTGTAACTGTGTTCACCTGCATTTAGATCTCCATCCTTGTTAAATTGAAATTGTGAATGCTTTCAAATAAGTTTATCAGGAACTTTATTAAAGTATCTGTGTGTGTCATTTTATTGTTAATTATGTTGAAGAATTCATATGGTTACTTACCATGTTCCGAACTCTTATTGGATTTCCTCCATATACTCATACATAAATTCCAGTGTGTGGTGGACTTGCATCTCACAATATCCATAATAATTTACCCAACATTTCCATTTCGAAGACTTTGTCATACCATTTTTGGAATCATTTAATCGTTCATATCCGTTTCCCGTTTTGGCTTATATGTATCTGGTCATATCTTATTAATATGATTTATATTCAAAATTGAAAATATTAAACTTCTTTGATCATCAAACGCATAATATTCGTTTAGAATAAGTATGCTGAGCTATTCGTAGTGAGCCATAGCCGATGTAACTAAAAAATTTCAAAGTTTAAGTGTTCTACATTAGTGTTGATCGGTGGTGGTGGAATCGCTCAAGACAAATATATGATGTTTAGAAAATAATACTGGTTGGTCATTGTATAATTTCAGGGGGGAAGCCAGCATGATGATTATGCTAATGCACATATGCTCCGACAAAAATACGGTTGAACACGTTTACAACTAACTGTAGACGTAGTAGGCAAATTTGACAAACTTATGTAAACTTATTATAAATTATCAGCATTTTCTTAGTTCGTTATAATCGTTGAAATGTAAGCCAAATTTTGTGTCCCGCTCTATATGGACACGTATTGTCCATTGTTATCACCCTAAAAGTTGTTATAAAGTTGAAAAGCTAAAAGAAGGAAATATGATGGCGATAGAAAAAAATCAACCCTGTTAATTTCCAGTAGGACTGTAAATGATTTTGGGCTCTATTTCGGGGAAAGAACTTAGCGTTTCTATCGAATCTCCCAAAAAGTTTATGCCTTCTGCATTTGATCATGGGGCATGCACAATGTTATTGGGACCGGAGGAAATAATACGATTATTGCATAGTTTGTCATGACCTGTGCTCGTTACAAAAGTGTTCGACTGTACTATTTTGTTTTGGATTTTTAGAAAGCAATGATAAGTATATAAGAATAACTGTATAGAATGAGATTATTGTAATTATAGAAATACATGACGTTTCCAACAAATTTTAGGAGAACCTAAAATTTCCTAACATCGTCCATACCTGTGCTAATGAAGATCGCATATATTATAACTACATGACGTGCCTCAGGAACACTGGCTTATCGGCCAATGTCGACGTGATACGAAAGTTTCCATATTTATGTTCGTAAGGACGGTTTCCTGGCTCAGCTGTTGAGGAGTAATTCCGTCTGTCACATGATCTTGTCACAGCAAAGTCGTCCGCTTCTGGAAATAAAGTCTGTTGTAGTTTATTTGGGTTTCGGTTTTAAAATCTATGGATCTTACAATAGGTAGAAAAATCTAATACTTGTGGGGGCGCCCTCACCGAGACATGATGCCGCATAACACCCCAAATTAGGGAGTCATCATTTAGGTTAGGAGCTCATGGTTACTGTTTAATCCGGAGGCGCCAATATTCGCCTCGTCAGTGCAAGTATCATTGGTGCACCGACATGTAATCAGAGATTCTCACCTTTAGAGCCCCTTACTGTCCGCGAAAAAAACAGTATTTACCGCACAAAAAGTTGTCGCAACATTTTCATTATTTAAGCGCATTGTCCAAAAAACTTCTTCGCTAAACAATGTTAATATAGGTCTCTGTTTTATGATACGCTCCTCCTTATATAGGTCCGTCCATTTTATTTGTTTTGATGGGCAGAGTCGAATTTTCCTAGCTATGTGGTGCCTGTAATTTGGCATTCCGTATTCTTGGTGTGTAAATTTTTTTTGCTGAAAAATGGTTAGATATATACATGTTTTGACCCATATCATATTCCCTACAGATATTTTCTACCTGAAGTGACTGTAACGTGACATTCCTGGTTCTTGATGGTTAAAAACTTTTTATTGAAAAATATTAAATATAGGATCATGCAAGATCGCGCCACCTTTTTTGTGGTTGAATGTCCTAATTGACTTTTCAATCCTGTAATTTGTACCGTGTAATTTGGTATTCCGCTTTCTTAGATTTCGAAAAAACCCTCCTGAGTCATGTTTTGGTACACCTAATGATAGAGGGAGAGTATAATTAAGTTTTCAGTTATTAATAAAATGTAGTTCAAATGGACGGGTCTAACTGCTATGGATAGTTTGCTCCTTCTTGTTTCTTCCGACCGCTTGGAGAAAATAAACTGAAAAATAGTTTAATTTTTTAAAGAAAAAATTGTTACTTCATTTTTTTTTTTTTTTGGAAAATTGGTCTAATATAATTTTGAAAAATATCCAACCTACTCCATCTACATTTGCCGTAGCTTTTATTATTATGTCTTTTAAGGGATGGGAATACAATGCTATCAACAATTAGAAACATTTTAAAGCATCGAAATCAATTTCATTCTTATGTTTACCGCCATACCCAATTTAGTTTGAATAGAAAGCTTTTTATATGTATCCACCTTGCACAGGAAGCGAAGCACATAAAAATCTTAAATGAAATGCACCCCTCACCCACACAAAAAAGAACAAATAATAATAAATAAAGAAAAAACATTATGTTCTATTTGCAATTCATTTCAGTAGTATGGAAGCACATATCCTTTAGAGAATCTGCTTTAGTTTATTTTTTCGTTTCCTTAAAGTTTTTGTTTAATTGAATGAGTCTTTTTTGTTTAAAAATGATTTTTGGAAATTTATTTTGTAACTTTTTGCAGGAGGAGATGCATGAGCAAATGTCTGGATACAAGCGAATGCGTCGTGAACATCAAGCTGCACTTCTCAAGCTCGAGGAGAAGTGCAAAGTGGAAATGGAAGCGCATAAGAATGCCCTGGACAAGGAATATGACAATCTGTTGCATAATTTCACAAGGGAATTAGAAAGACTAGAGGTGAGTAGATAACGGAATTCCTACCCACCCACCTATATATGAAAATATATTTTTTTATCATCTAATTTAATCTTATTTGAAATCTAGGCCAAACATCAACAAGATTTGGAGAGGCGCATGAAACAAACAACAGCTGCCGAAAAGAAATTACACAAGGAGATTACTTTGAAACAGGAATGTGATCGCAAAACCCATGATATGCAACGCAAAAAGGACTACAAAGCCAACAAGGAGCGATGGAAACGTGAATTGTCAATGGATGAATCAACGCCGAAGCGTCAGAGGGATTTAACATTGCAAACACAAAAGGACTCGCTCAAACAAGCTGAGGCCCAAGAGGAGCAGCGTCTGTTGTCATTGCAAAAGAAATACATTGAGCTGGAAATGCGTAAATTTAAACGAAGGCGTTTAATCATGCTGCACGAACTGGAAGATCAGCTGCTAAGAGACGTAAGCTATCTATTACAGCCCGTTCCTATCATATATCATATTGTATTCGCTTTTCTTGTAGGAATTGTCTAAGAAACAACATCAGCTAGAACAGGCCCATGCCATGCTACTGAAACATCATGAGAAGACACAAGAATTAGAGTATCGCCAGCAAAAAAGTGTCCATCAATTGCGTGAAGAACAAGTAATATTCTCTCCCTCCACATTCTATAGTTTTTGCCAACACTTAATTGCCATTTACCACCATTTCATTCTTAGATTAATAAACAACACGATACTGAATTGCAAAATCAAAAAGATTACATGGAGCGAGTTAAAAAAGATTTACTGCGTAAACACGCTCTGGAAATTAGGCAACATCCTAAGAGTCTAAAGGTAAGTTCAATTGGCAATTAAATTATTGAATGAATTTTCTTTGATTCCAAACAAAAAAATCCAAATCTGGATGTTGTTTTGTTTACTGCATTTGTTGTTTTTTCCCTCCATTCAATTTTCAACCACCAGCAAAAAGAATTGCAAATACGTAAACAATTCCGAGAGACGTGTAAAACGCAAACAAAACAATATAAACGCTACAAAGCCCAGATATTGCAAACGACGCCAAAGGAGCAACAAAAAGAAGTCATTAAACAATTAAAAGAGGAAAAGCATCGTAAATTAACGCTGCTGGGCGAACAGGTAAGCATTTCAAATTGATTAAAACATATACATATATACCGTTTAATATTGATTATGTTAATAGTGGGGGGATCAGATCCACCAACAATTTCTCGCTCGAGAAAATTTTCTCTCCCTATATACTTAGAATGCGTATATAATGGTCATAGCATAATAAATCTATTTATATTACCAAAATTAATATTCAAACGGTATATTACAAAACATTGTATACATATACAATTAATATTTATATTTGGAATTATTTTATATAAATACTATCCTTTCATTCGCTTCTTTTACCAGTATGAACAAAGTATTGCTGATATGTTCCAAAGTCAAAGTTATAAACTAGATGAAAGTCAAGTGATCGAGTGCCAACGTACCAACGAAATGTTGGAATATGAATTAGATGTCTTAACTGCCTATCAAAATAAGAACAAGAAACAAGCTCAAGAGCAACGCGATCGAGAGCGTAGAGAATTGGAGAATCGTGTGGCAGTCCGTCGCAGTGTTTTAGAGAGCAAGGTAATGTAGAGCCAACAATTTTTTTTGTCTTTTCATTATTCACCACTCAGATTCTAACAATAATGGATAACCCTTATTTTGTTATTTATTATTTTCACTTGCAGATGGAAGCCGAATTACTACAATTCAATCAAGAACGTGCCGAAAGATTGCGATTAATGCACGAGAAGCATGTTAAAGAAATTGAAGCTTTCGATGAAGAATCAATCACATTAGGTTTCAAGTAATTATACGATTTAATTATTTATAATTCATTTGGATTCATATTTATATATTTCGTTTTTTTTTTTTATTTACAGCGCTATGGCAGTTGCCGAAGGATCACGAGAGGCATACCCTGATGAAGAGGGTAGTCTATCGGGTTCAATGATTAGTTTAGCGCATAGTAATAGTTCAACAAGTTTTCCGGCTGGCTCCCTATAGCATAGAAATGTTAATAATACAAATGGATTTCATCATAATAATATTTTAAATAAAGATAATGTAATTATTGCTAGTAATATAACAAATACAACAACAACACCAACACCAACCACAATAACAAGAACATCCATGAATTACACCAACCCCATCATAACAACAACAACTGCAATAGCAATCACAGCAACAGCAAATATAGTTTCAGTGTCAGCAGCATCTGCCTCAGCTACGGCATCAGCGTCATCATCGACGACAGCGACAGCAACAACACCCACAACTTTAACAAAACATTTTCGCATTACGACTCCAAGTGGTGATGGTGAATGTAACAAGAAAAAGGCAAAAGAATAATGATGATAAAAGCAGGAAGATAAAAAATAAATAAAAATTACGATAATAATGTGGATGCAACAACTTGAAACAACTACAACAATTGGTGTACAAAACAACCAATTTTGCTGCAATAAAAACACAACAACAACAGTAATAATAATGAAAAACGAGATAAATGCCGCTTATTAATCAATGTAATATCATTAAGGATTTAAAAGAATGTAGTATGAATAGTAAAGGATGATATATATGATAATGATGATGATGAAGTTGATGTTGTGATGATGTTTTGTAAACTAAATTCAAATTTATAGAACTCACTCACACACACATATACACTCACTTCTCCATTATCCACTCCACATCTTCACTCCTCCCTATGCACCACGTACATTTACCAACACGAAAAGAAAACAAAACAAAAAAATGGAACACAATTTTTTTATCATAACTACCCCATCACCGCCAGAACACCAACCACCACCCCCCAATCACGAACATTTAAATAGTTATACATACATATATACACACAAATCCCGCCTCCATCACTCAACTCTCAACCAGAACACCACTAACATTTGTCAATAACAGAAGAAGAAGAAAAACAAATGAAAAAAGTTTTGATAATCCAAAATAATAATAATTATTATTAAATACATATACATATAACAAAACACTGTAAGATTCTCGCAAATTTTTTGCAAGATATCAACAAATAATAATAAAGAAAATTCAACAATTTATATAAGGATCGCTTATGGAGGAGGAGTAGGAGCATGAAGAGAGCAAGAAGATTAAGAAGAATGGTTATAATGATACATAAATAATATACATGCATATACATATATAATAATATGATAATTAAATAATTAATATATATAATAATAACAATAATAATATTTAATAATTAACGCAAATTATTATAAAATAATTTATTTTTAAGTTAAATAAAAAAATAACAAAAAAATAAAAATAAACGCGTTATAAAAATATTTCATATTACATTTTCTTTTGTTTCAGACAAGGCTATTTTCAGTTTTACCTTAGATGAAGTGAGAGTCATTTTAAAATGGAAGGGTAAATGCTGGCATGGTACTTACAAATATTTTTGATATGTGATTCACATTCAGATTTCCAGACAAATCCGCCACTAATGGTAAATCCTACCGCCCGATTTCTCTTCTTTCACTAGTAACCAAGGCTTTAGAGTCTCCAATTCAAGAATGTCCCTACAAAAATTCAAGTGAAAATCTCAAGAACTCTTGAAAATATAGCCGATTTATTACGCGTTTTCTCTTTTGCGAATGGCGGGCACGATAACTCAAAAACTAATAACCCAATCGATTCCAAATTTTTACACGTTTCTCGGTGAGTGTATAGCTATCGTATGAACTAGGATAAGGCCAATCGGTGAAGATCTTCCTTATTTTTTAACTTGGTTTTTGGTCAAAAATCAGCGATTTTCCAAAAATATGTTTTCAAAGGTCCGCCATTTTGTTAATTTTAGAGCGATGTCAATAACCCTAGTTCATACGAGAGCTAGACATGTACTCTTTCTAACACCGTTGGAATTTTCGGATTCCGATGTTCCAGTGAGGAGTTATCATGCCCGCAATCAAAAATAAGGACTTTTCTTTAATTACAAAAAACAATAACAACAATTTTTTGTAAATTATTTTTCTTCTGTTTTAAATCTTGAAATATATATATGTGCAAATTTACAAACCTTAACAAGCATTGGTATTGATTTACCAGCCCATTGAAAAAATTAAAATCGAGAATGGGTGGGGTTTCCTTAACAGGCGGCAGGCCTTCGTTGTGTTCCGTGACCAAAAAAATCAAGGCGAGACAGTGTCCTATCTCCCATTTTGTTCAACATGTATCTCCCCATTTCTCCACCAGATATCTCAGTGGTGTCGTACGCCGGTGACTGCGATTATTTCGACCGGCGTTAACATTGACGACGTAAATGAAAAGATTTCCAATTATTTAGCCACCATCACCAACTTCTTCCAGGAGCGCAATCTAAAATTATCCACTGCAAAGTCCACTGTGTCACTTTTCACTTCCTGGACGCGAGAACTCAATTTAGAATTAGACATTTCCATTGAAGATAGACACATCCCCACCATCCATAATCCGAAAATCCTTGGGGTGATCTTCGATAATCCCCTTCATTTCTCGCATTCTGAAAGCTTTGGCTGGCACCTCCTGGGGCAAGGATAAAGAAACGTTGGTAACAACATATAAGGCCATATGTCGTTCCATCCTTAATTATGCTAATTCCGTCCCGATTTTTTTTACAATGGAGATCCTTGCAAACAACACAAAATAATTCACTCCGGTAGTGTTGGTGGTCGTCGAAATCATTGCCGATTGTAGTTGTAGTCGAACGTTATTTCCTGAAAAAATAATAATAAAAAAAACAGAAGAGGGAAGCCCGAGAAACTGTTTCAGCTCTACTGTCTATTGGAAGATTTGTTGGCTCGGGCCATTGAGTGACGTCTTGGATGCCGATAGCACTTGAAATCCTTACAAATGTGTCATATAGGGTTCATGAAACTACTCCATAATGAACATTAAAAAATAATATCGCATTGCGAGAATGCTCCCATAAATGCAATAGCTCAAGACCCCTGTTAAATAAATTTAAAACGTTTTGTGTTACACATCTTGTGCAGTAGCTAGTTTGTTTTTTTATTTACATTCACAATAATATATGTATATTCGCGTATATTGTTGGTACTTTATTTTCTTTATAATAAACTTATATTTAATACTTCATTGTAAATCTAGAAATACAACGGTGTCATATTTGGGTTTTCTTTGTTCTTCTTTCTCATCATACTCTCATTGTAACAGACTTTCTAAAAAGGAATTTTTATTAATTATTTTTGTTGTGGCTATAACGAATTCCACATTGTTATCTTCGTCTTGGGCGAGAAAACGTAAAGCGGCAATTTCGGCAAATGTACAACCGCCAACAATGAAGACCAGCACCACACGTGGAATGTTTAATGAAGAACCTTCACTAGGAGTCGAAGAATGCCGCCCGCCTATACCAATTAAAGGTGCTTGGAAATCTTCAAATGTTGGACCGGGCAAATTGTTAATTTGACTTTTCAGCGATTGCCAACCCAGCGGTTTTAGAGATTGTTCAACAATGCGGGCAATAAGCGGAGCATAAAAGCTATGCACATAGCTAATGTCTTTGGGATTGACTTCAATAACTTCATCGACAGTGAGATTTAATGTCTATGAAAATAACAGTCACCACATTACATTAATTCCTTATTAGCTTCATAATACCTACCTTTCTCAGAACGGCATAGGCACGTGACTCCGATTGTGTGTAAAGGACCCCAGCCTTTTCCAAATTGCTTATTTTCAGCAGAACCTCAATGCCATACACATGCACCAATTCACGTTTGTAATAAGTCAGGACCTAATAAAAGGTTTTGGTCAATATTCATATAATATTAACTGGTTACTCCAACATTTACCTTTTCCTTAAAACCCGATGCCGCTGCACACTGTATACAAATCAGTCGCAGAACCTTTTTCAAATCTGCCTTCTTTGCCATTAAATCCTCAATGTAACCACTGGGCTTATCGATATCTTCACACATCATAAACTCCTGTTCGGCCGCCAAGTCATCCGTAAATTCAAATGCATCCAATTGTTTGCGAATATTCTCAGCTATGGTTGTATGATTTGCCACCGATTGTTTTTGTGCCAATAAGGCGGGTAATTTATCCACCAACCGCTTCATTTCTTGGACTGAATTTTCTTGGGCACTGGCATTCATGGCGGCACTGATATCTTTCGCACTGCGTGATAATATTTTACCAATTTCATTAAAGTTTTTATTGCGCAATTCCGGATACAATGTCTCGCCAGAGTTCAATATGATTGTTTTCTTATCCGATGTCATGTGGGCTGGCGAGCCATCTCGTTCGTTACTTTTAGCAAACAGATCCGCTGGCAGCGTTAATTGATTCTGCCGCACGCCATAGAATTCATCAATCAACCCTTCGTACGTGAGCTGTGTTGCAAATGCACTTAGCAGATCTATCTGTCGATCCAATAAAATAATCTGATCTATTGTTCCCCGCTCACCGGTAGACAGTAACTTTTCTTCGGCACCCAGTTTTTTTGCCCGCTCCCAAACACCTTGAGCCATGGTACCTTTGCCATAGATTTTCGGTATACGTCCATAAATGCGTTGCAATTGCACAAGACCAACAGCGGCTTGATACAGCGCCGTCGGATCGCCATCTATGGCGACATCTCTAAATGCCATAGGATTTTCCATGGAAATCACATCATTATCCATGGGATAGAAATTCCATGAAAGTTCTTCGACCATGCCAAAACTGCCATAGACACCTTTCTGCTCCAAATGTTTTTCGCACAGACATGAGCGTCTTGGTACAAAGAAAATGTGGAATACCCGATTCTTGTCAGAGTTCTTAAGCACCTGCCCGGCTATGTCATCCATTATGCTGACCAATGGTCTCACTAGATAAATAATGTTCATATAATCCTTGGGCATACGTGTTTCCTTTTCCAGCTTGAGTAATTTAATGCCACGTTCAGAGAATAGACTGGGTGGTGCCACCAAACCCAATGGTCCCAACAATACATCGTCCAGTACGATAGCTTTTGTACCTTCGAGTTTGTCCAATAAAAGCTCGAGCTGCTGACAAGATGATTCCTGCAGCAGTTGTAAATTGACCCGTCTCTGACTTTGCAGATAAGAGAACATCTTCGTGTTTTTGTGGGAGGAACTTGGTTCCGTTTAGAAAACAAAGAAATGAGTAATCTAATTGAAAAACGTTCCACATGCTACGAATAGGGGTAGGCAGAAGAGAATGGTTGATAAAAACCCAGATGGAAACAAAATGGAGCTATAACCCTCTATTTACGAATGAGGAATAAGTATAGTGGCGATATTATGCTTGTTTAGAACGAGACATGGAAGAAGTGTTAAACATCTGATAATATTGCGGATTATGTGAAATTGATGACCGGATCTTCGGATACTTCCATAAAGGTCGCGAATCGATTTGAAATGTTTACCATAACTAGTTCTAGGGACCCTGACAAAAACGATACTCTTTTCGACTTGCGGAAATCCCCAACTCCCGAGATAGGGACCTACAATTTATTTAGTCAATTACATTCTAATTAGAAGGATATCCTGTCACGTAGCCCAGCATTCTATTTAATAGGAAATTCAGTGAAGTAGCCGGTTTTGTAATCTGTCCATAGGAGTATGTCTATAAAGGGTACCTGTGGAAATTTGTAAGTACTATAAGAGAAAGTATGACTTCTCTAAAAAATAATTAAGCTTCAAATTGATAATCTTATTCCATGAGTGAATTTAAGAACACATGGATAATCAAGAGTCTCTGCGAAACGCTGAAGGACCATTCCTCATGATTTTTATGAATTTCCGCAAGACAAAAATTATATCGCTGTTAGCAGGGCCAATAGGACTATTTGAGGCAAACAATTCAAAACGATACTCAATCAGACACTGTGAAAAAATCTCTTAACTCGATCATTGCGGAGCTTCTTAAGGTTGTTCTAAAACCGGATATGAGATTCGTCGATTAGTCGACTCTTCTAACCCTATGTATTATCAGCTGATTTCCATTTCTTTCATTTCACTTTCTACACAATGTTTTTCGCTCTTTTTGCATTACACACATTCGTAAACAATAATTTTCTCGGCCATTTTTGTTTGGATCTGCTATACTCTGTCTCTCTTCTCCCAGTATTTTTGGAACGATTTTAGTTTAGTGTTTTTTTTTGCAATTTTCTTAATTGTTGTTGTGTCGAAAAAGGGGAAAAAATAATTAACAGTTAATAAACAAACAAAATATTAAGCTGAATTTTGGAATAATGAATGAAGGCACCATGACAAAGGATCCAACAAGAGAGACCCTGAAAAAACTAATTGAACACTCAAAGTAAGTTCGCCAGCAACATTAAGTGGCCAGTCAACACAAGCAGATGGTCCGCAGATTTAGAAATTTGCAAAAGAATAGAAAAAAACTTGGAGTTGTGTGTGTGTGTATTGTTTGGGGTGGTGGATGGATGCCATCATATAGCGCGTTAAATTAGCATATTAATAAAGTTTTGAATTTGTTTTCCGATTACAGTGCAACATTTAGCGTGGACGATGTACTGAGAGAGTTTCGCATTACCAAGGAGAAACGCAACAATCGAAAATTGTTGAAAATTTTGGAAGTCATATCAAAAAATCAGCCAAAGCAGACGGAGAATTTAGTTGAGGCAGCCAAGCTATTAGAGAAGTATTGGAATTTTTAATGTTTTTATTGTTGCTTTGTTATTAAGGGTTTACTTTGGTTCCCTTTTGTGCTACAGGAAAGATCCCTTTTATTGTCTGTTGCAATTTTTGAATCATTATTCGGAAACCAACATCATGCAGACTATGCGTAAAAAGGATTTATCCACATCGACTCCAATGTTGGTCAAAACAATGTTTGAAAATGGCACAGCAGATAATGTTTCTGATGTAAGTATTTACATGAATACAAATCTGGATTTCAATTGTATTTTTTTAATTTGGTTACAGCTCAAAGGACGTTTGGTCCAAGCAGCCTGTGGCAGCAGTTTAAGCCGTACTGGTCAGAATAACAACTCAATCATAAGTGCCGGCCTCTTGTGTACAACACCAATACCATCGGGGCTATCCGCAATGGGTGGTGGCTGCAATTTATTTCCCTCATCGACAAAAAGCAATAGCCGCATTGATGCCCTATGGGATTTTCAAAATATCGAAAATATTCAATTTCAACAGAGCAATATTGCTGCCATACCCATTAGTAGTCAAGAGAATTTACTACTTTATGATCTGATTTATTGCCTAACCGGAATGCGTGGCTCGTATATAACACCAGAATTGGATACACTACGTGATGGTAACTTGCAGGGAGCTTTTTCGATGAAATTTAAAATTTCCGAACAAATTCATAGTTCGTTGCGTGATATTGCTCAGGAAATTTTACCAATGGCATCACATTACACATGCATCCAACAATTCATACAGAAGGCCACATTCTCGAATTGCAGTCAAGTGTTGCAGGCGTTAAGTGAAGCATTAAATAATTTAATACATGATTATTATGTGAGTTTAACAAGATTATGTTTATATATGACGTTTTATGGAATCTTTTGGACGATCTATGATCTTTTAATACTGCTAATATTCTTCCGTCTTTAGAGGGCCTTTTTAAAATCGTCATTATGTAGAAAATTTATTGAGAGTCCTATACAGACGATTTTTCAATGTGATTTCTATAGATCTTTTGAAAGAGATTTTTACTTAAAATTACTTCAGACTATATAAGGCGACCTGTTGATAGGCCTTCGGACTATAAAACACGGTATTCTGGTAGGTCGTAGACTATACATTGAAACGTTTAAACATATAATGCCATTTGTCTTCGAAGGACATTGGAAATATCTTTTGTGTACATATAGAAATCCCTTGAAAGGACATATTTTGTGAAGACTGCTGCCCATAGATACATTTTTGATAAGTTTTGTTTAAATGTCGGCCGTCTACAATATCATTTAAAGTTTAAATACCTGTTCTGTCTTCAAAATATAATTAACAACGTTAATATCCGTTAAAATGTCTTCATACTATATAAGACACTTGGAAATATCATCTGAGAGGCTGCAGAATACGATATTCCGGTATTTGTCTGAAGGAACGTTGGAAAGTTATTTTCTTAATATGATACTCTTGAAATGGCTATACAAGATATTTAGAATGATTTCATGTCCATAGAAAATTCTTTAAATTATCATGTTCGTAGGAGATCATTCGATAGGGTTTCTATCTAATTCAATGATCTTCTATCTAGATACGAGTAGAAGCTTAAACAATGCCTTTAGAAAATTTTTAGTTTATATCCTTCTTCTATAAACTAAAAATTTTCTAAAGGCCTCCTCTTCATAGAATATGGGGTGTCTGTCTTTATAAGGCTCTTTACAGAAGAATATAGACGTTTGCAAGACTATTAGAAGTCGTTTTATTTATGGAGGATCCATTGAAGGTCTTCCTCCCATCTTCTGAAAACATTTCCGAGTATCTCTAGAAAATCGTTTTTGTTTTCACTCCAGCTCCTACTGGCACAATTGGAATCTGAGTTAAATGCTGGAAATTTGACTTTACACAAAATGTTGTTCTATGTGCGACCAACATTGAATACCATGGAGGTATTGGCAGGAGCGGTGACACTTATAGTCGCTGTGAGTATTATTGAAAAAAATCTCTTAAATCAAATTTATTAATTTTTTGATACAAAACAGAATGAACTGCGCGGAGGGCAAGCCCTTACATTGTTATTCAATAAAATTAGTGCCCTTACTGGCGATGAAGAATCACAAAAATTCCTCATACAATTAACGCAAAGAGCTGCAATGCCATATATGAATATTTTACAATTATGGATACAAAAGGGAGTCATCAACGACCCGCAACAAGAATTTTTGGTTGAGGATAATGAAGTCGTGAGACGTGAAGATCTACCAGAACACTATTCAGCAGATTATTGGGAAAAGCGGTAAGAAAAAAATGTTTCTCTTCAAACTACATTTCCCTATTTTGTTTTGCTTTATTACTTTCAGTTACACCATACGCCGTGAACGTATACCATGTTTTTTGGATAAGGTCTCTGACATTATTTTACGCACCGGCAAATACTTAAATGTTATTCGCCAGTGTGGAAAGAAAGTCACACCGCCACAAACAATGAATCTGCAATTCTCACCGACAAATCAAAATCATATTACTGTCATCCAGAATGCCTATCGTTTCGCTTCGAAAAACCTATTGGAAGTTTTACTCAAAGAAAATGATTTAATGGGTCATTTGATGTCGGTTAAACGTTATTTGCTATTGCATCAGGGCGATTTTATAACACAATTTATGGATGCCTGTGAAGATGAATTAGCGAAAAACGTTGACAAAGTCCTACCGATGACATTGGAAAATCTTTTGGGTTTAACTTTACGTTTGTCATCGGCTAAACATGATCCCTATAAAGATGATGTACACTGTGAACTGTTGACATATGATTTGGTAACACAAATGTCGAAAATTATGAATAATGAAGAAGGTGAGTTGGGAAGTGGATTGAGGGTTTAATGGGGTATTAATTGGGATATAGAAGGGTACCTTCATATAAACTAATTTATGAAGGTATATTTAATTGGTATGGTTTTTTATTACGGCCCATATTTCTTTCAAAAAAGCGAACCACATATGGTTCTATGCACCAGATTCACTCGAACTAAGACTTCGACCAGAGGCTGCTAACTCAACGACTTGAAGTACGTGGAATTTATTGGAATCTAACACTACATATTGTTGATCCTGCACAGCAACAAGATCAGCGAAATTGTGGAGTTTATGAATCGAAGATTAAATATAGTCGCTGCGATACAAGAAAGGGGGTCTTGTATTCTTTCGTTCTGTCCAGTACAGAACTATTTCGTTTGAGCTAGGCTGTACTGACTCATATATTAAACGTATGGGGATAATCGGTAATCGCACTTTTAGAATGTAATAACCGACTGGTACTAGGGTTGTGGTCATCATGAGTTATGGCATTTCGTCCTAGGTAACGACTAGAGGAGTACAGCCCTTGTCGATCAAATTGATAGCTCAACATTTTGTACGGTGATTGAGAATGCCCCCACAAGGATAAGGGGAGATTGACACAGCTCGCCCAACATCACCCGGTCGTAACATGGCTCCTCCTATCATCGTCTTCCTTAATAGACCACCCGACTTTATAACATTTGAAGCTCGTACTTGGACCTTGGGGTTGGTAAGGGTTTTCCCAGAAATTCACCACCACTGATACCGCACTCTATATACCTTCTGGTCGAAGACCCGATGTAAGACCAGAGTTCCCATCATAGGCCACGAACGTGAGGAGCTTCGTCGTTCGACTCTTAAAGAGCGAATGATGAGGCAACTTGCTCTTGAAGTCAACAGGTAATATGAATCAATGCAACATTGTGACCGGTACAAGTAAATTGTGGGCAATAGTTAATTCACTCTCGAACCTTGGAAAGAAGAACGGCTGTCATATTTAAAGACTATTATTTTGTTCGGCAGTTTATAGAGCAACCGGAGAGTGACAGGGTGAAAAGGAGTTTGCAAAATCGGATAAGAGCTCTTCAGTCGAAGAGGGACCACCAAAATTTACGAAGGAAGATGTTACCAATAACTTTAAGTCTTCCAAAACGTTAGACCCGGACGGAATTTCTGTGGCAATGCTTAAGCAATTGGATGAATACGGAGTTGAGTACCTAACATCAGCTCTTAATTGACAGGACGAAAAGGAGTTTGCAACATTGGATAAGAGCTCTTCAGTCCAAGAGGGACCACCACAATTTACGAAGGAAGATGTTACCAAGAACTCTAAGTCTTCCAAAACCTTAGACCCGGACGGAATCTCTATGGTAATGCTAGTGGATGAACACGGATTCCTAAAATCAGCCCTTAATTTGTTGTTAGCCTCTCACGTAGCTCCTAAAGCCTGGAAATAAGGAAATATGGTCCCGCTACTGAAGCCAACAGAGAGGTCACCAGAGGTGAATCGTTTAGGCCGATTTCACTCCTGTTGGCAAAAGCAAAGAAACTTGAGGCGCAACTCCTCCCAACGATGAAAAGCAAAACCACATGGATTCTTAAAATGGAATGTCCTATAACAGTTTTGCCGCCATTATCACCGTGCACCCGAACAGTCATGTTGACTCTTTCTCTATATAAGGCCTACGATACCGTTAATCATGCCAAACTGTTCGAGGACGTAGATAAGCCTAACCTCCTCGTGTTTGAAACGTTTGATAATCAACAATATGTGTGGACGCCAGTCAGTTGCAACAACATGTCTCCAATTTATTTTTCGAATTTTATCTGGTTTACATCTTTCTTTTTTACTTGTTGTTAGTAAGGAAAAGCTTCACATTTAATATGTTTGTATTTTGTAATGCCTTTTTTTCTGTTTTCATTTATGTATTCAATATAAAAATACTCAATATTTTATTCAAAAATATATTCAATACAATTTCATTTACCGCCATAACCTCTTCTAGAATATTGGCAAACTCATGACCGCTTAGACTTAAATGGCCTGGAGTGTTTTGCATTTCGTTATGAAGTCAAGTGGCCTGTCTCATTGGTATTAAATCACATTGCGATTTCCAAATATCAAATGCTGTTTCGGCAACTGTTCTATTGTAAGCATGTTGAGAGGCAATTGTGCAAGTAAGTACTCAGCGACAATAATTATTATTATTCATTCACACATACTCAATGTAACAACCCTTTGCCGTTTCATTTTTTTTGCCATCATAGAATTTGGAAAGAGAATTCTATTGCTAAAAAGTTTTCACCGCAGGCGGCCGAACTTTATCGTTCAGCATTTACATTGCGACAACGGATGATGAATGCTGTACAAAATCTTGAATATTATATGATGATTGAAGTTATTGAACCAAATTGGCATATATTTATACAGAAAATGAGTAAGGTGGGTAACATTTTGATTTAACAATTTATATTTCCGCTCGAAAACTCATTTGTTATGTATATTTAGGTTGAAAATGTCGATGAAGTATTAACGTTTCACCAGGACTTCCTCGATTCCTGTTTGAAAAATTGTATGCTCACTGATGCACCATCTTTAAATCGTTCCATTTTTAAAATGTGCAACATTTGTTTGAAATTCTGTGAATTTATACAGGTAAGTGAGAAATAGACAACATAAATATTTTGTTTGAGAAATATTTTTTCATTTATTTGTTAATGTGTTCTTTAATTTATTTGTGAAAAAACAAGCACATTTCTATTCAAATGTGATTTTATGTTGTTGTTAATTTCTTTGAAACTTTGTCTCCTCACAGTATTTGAATTTAATAAGAAATTTTCTTCCTTTTTAATTCCCGTTTTTTGTAATTGTTTTAAATAATCAAAAAACAACAATTTTGTTTGTAATTTTAATTCACCTTCCCCACAACAACCTTGCGATCGCCTAAATAATAAATAAAAAAAGAAATCGCAACGTTTCTTCCTTGATGCCGAGCTTACTTCGATGATGTGCGACAGTAATGATGAGGATAATTCTGAGTCTGATTACGAATTTGCTAGTCACAAACAGGTATTTGTGGTACACAAAAAATAACGCATCACATTATAACAAAAAATATTAAAAACTTTTCTGTTTGTTAAAAAAAAATATTGCACAAATTAAATAGATTTTTTCTAATTTTTTTTTTAAACAACTTACTAATTTTTACACAAATTGCATGTATATAATGCGTAAACACACAATTACACAATTCTATTTTTTATTTTCTCTATGTTAAATTAATAATTTATAATGAAAGTCAATTGAAAGATTTTATTATCCAATTGATGAATGATGAAGAAAAAAATTTAGTATCAAGAAAATTTGAAATCACTGGCTCTAGTAGGAAAATCCAGATTTCAAAATTTTTATGGACCAACTGTCCTCAAAAACACCGAAACTCGAATTTTGACTACAAAACAAATAACGTTACTCGTAACCCGTAAGTAGGTTGTCCAAGGAAATATTATGAGAGGAAATGTAAAAATTAGAGAAGACGAAATGGTGGGCTTGAGTTTTCTTTAGGATATAAACCACCAAAAATATAATTTTTTCAGCATTGATTAAAAATAAAAAAGTGACATATGAACAAAAAAAAATGTTGTGCGGTATATCCAGTATGTTGTGATCGCCTGTAAGAGTCATTGTATTATTTCTTTTACTTATTAATAACTCTAACGAGTATAACCGAATCATTCTTGGAACCTTTTAAAGAAGTAGTTGGTATCGTACTGACAGCAAAAATTAAACATTTAAACAGCAGTCATATCGCGTTTTTTGCAACTATTTTGGGACTATATGACATTTGAGATGGTCAGATGAGCCCCTAGATTTTGGTAAAGATTTCTATGTTCAACAGTATCTCTTAATTGGAAGAAACCTTTATTATGAAGTCATCTGATATACTTGAAATAAAAATTTAGGGAACATACCAATAAGTTTACCTATACCGACATTTATACAAACCGATTATGGTTCTAAATATTGGTCCTAGACCTCTGTTTCTTTGGAACATTATGTTCTAGTTTTTTTTCGTATCTTCCGCAGATGAAACGATTACAACAGAGTCTTAGAACCAAACCCAAACACGGAACAAATCTTAAAAAAGGGGGTTATATGGGGACGACCCCAAAAAGGGGGCAAATATTAAAAATGTTTAGCAGGGAGAGTTGTTACCATATACGACTACAAAATACCAAATTACAGCGAATTCGGTTGAAAAACGCGCTCAGGAACCCCAAAATACCGAAAATTGGGAGTACCCTTATATGAGGGCTATCCGAAAAATGGACCTATATTTATAATTTTTTGTGGAGAGATTTGGTACCTATTAAGAACTCAAAGTACTAAATTACAGCCATTTCGGTGGAAAATACGATCAAAACCCCCAAAATACTGAAAATTATGAGGTACCGTTATATGGGGGCTACCAGTAAAAATTGATTTTTTGTGGAGACATTTAGTACCCAATAAGAACTCAATGTACCTAGTTTCAGCGTATTCGGTTGAAAAACGCGCTCAAGAACCCCAAAATACCGAAAATTTGGGGTACTGTTATATGGGAGATATGCCTAAACGTGGACCGATATAACCCATCTTCGAACTTGACCTGCCTGCAGACAAAAGACAAACCTATGCAAAATTTCAGCACCTTATCTCAATTCCTTCAGAAGATACCGTGATTACAACAGACGGACGGACATGGCTAGATCGTCTTAGAATTTTACCCTGGTCAAGAATTTATATACTTTATAGGGTCGGAAATGAATATTTCAATGAGTTAAATACGGAATGAAAAAAACAGTAAGGAAAGTAGTGAAGTCGGGCTGGGCCGACTATATGATACCCTTCACCACTTTGGGTATATTCTACATATGTATCCTAACAGACGACGCGTTTTTGTTATATATCTATATCTGTACCGATTTCAGGGAAACTTGCCCGAGAGTAATTTATAATACTTCAATACGTTGTGTCAATCTAGACTTAATTCAGTACCAAATACCAAAATGCACCAATTACATAAAATCCGACAAAAATATATATGGGGACTATATCTAAATCTGAAACGATTTTCACGAAACTTAGCACACATCAGTCTAGCCTTAAATCAATACGCTATGACAAATTTCGTGCAAATCGAATGATTTTCAGAGACTTTGATGCACTAATTATTTAAAATCGGATGATTATATATATATATATACGTTTGTAGTTGCTTATAACCATTGTCCGTTATATCCGGACAAGGTGGAAATCAGCGTTATCTTTTTCTTGTACAGAAAAATCATTTAAAAAGTTAAAAAAACTTTTAACGCCGCCGTTATTAGTGTTTTCATCAAAAACAGGGCAAATTATTTTAATCCAAAAATACAAGAGCCGAACCGAGCGAACCGAATCATTATTGGGACCTATTAAAGATGTAGTTGACATCGTACTCTCAGCGAATTTGATATATTTACATAGCAGTCATTTCGCATTTTTTGCTACTATGGACGTGAGTGGTACAAGCAACGTAAAATTGGAGAACACCAATTTCTTCTCTATACATCCAACCACATTCCCAGCTTTGGGGATGCCATCAACGTTTCCTTCTTCCACCGACATGATATGAAATATCCTTCAACAAGTTCTAAACAATTTTTTTTTGGGATTAAACTTCATCCGATGTGTTTTACAATACCATAGTATTATATTGTCGGATCTAGGAAATTTAAATGATTGAAAAGTATTTAACGCCCATACCAGTAGCAGTTGGTTAAGAGATGGTTAGGAATATCTCTGTCGCGGTTGCTTTATAATGTTGCAGATTTATATGCCTGACCTTTTCACTAAACGGGTACAGTTGATCCCAGAATGGTTGGTTGTTGGTTTTACGTAATGCAAAACGTCAGCTGACTCTTTATTTCCAGAGTTTATGACATTGACACACTTTTATAGTGTAATCCTATCAAACTGTAGTTGTAGATTCTTAACTCATATTATAGGGAATATGTCTTTTAGACCATGAATCTCTATGATACCCCAGTTGGGAGCGGCAAATGATGGCTATTCTTTGTTCAACTTTCGAAAATTATCGATTTGTCTCTTCAACACGTTCTGATTTTCCACTTTTCACTGTCATTCTTAACCCCTACCTCTACATTGACTTTATTTGGAGCAGGATGCTGTTCCTCTGTCGACCTTGACCTTTATATATAAAGTTAATCTGTATCTATGATGTCAATAATGCTTTCATTCGAACAGAAAAGACTTCGAAAGGAAATAGAAAAATGTAGCAATATGATAGAATGGGACCTGATGCTGAGCGGCGATGTATGTTCGGAATTATGGTCTGATGATCAAAATTTCGTACTTTTGGTATTCTGTAAGACTACCTCATAACTACCTCACTCAATCATTCGCTATTTTGCACGAAAGCATATTACCCAGCAAACATTTTTTGCCGAATTCGTGCAGAATTCGTACCAATTTTCTGAACAAATTGCCGATTCTGATGCCGAATTCGTTCCGATTTCGGTACAAAAGTTGTATGGACATGGTCACTGAAATCGGAAAGAAATTCGGAAAATTATTAGAGTTTCCATCTGAAATCGGATAAAAATTATTGGGAACTTTTGAGGTAAATTTGGATTTTCTGACAGAAATCGGTCGGAATTCGAAAGAAATTTCTTGTGAAATTCGGAAGAAAATTTAGATTTTCTGACAGAAATCGGACCGAATTCCGATTAAAAACTAAAATTTTTTTGAAAAAAATCAAGGAAAAATAATCCAACTCAAGCACGCTTTTGCTTCGACTGTTGAACAACAACTAAAGATATAAAAGAATGCAAAACACTGATTTTTATTTTGTTTTTGCAAATTTGTTTTCATTTTTTACAACGAATGAGAAAAAGACCGTTTAAAATTTACTTCATATAAACATCACAACAACAACAATAAAACCCACCACCTTTTATTAATAAATGCAACCAAATATGCCAAATAATACTCCCCGTTTGGGATATTTTTTCCGAATTTCTTACGAAAATGTGAGATTTTCGGCAAAATGTACAGGAATATGTGCAGAATATCTAAAGTAGAAGTGTGCAAAAAGAAAATGCTCGGAGAATAAATATATGAAATGACTTACTAAAAGAGAACGCAGAGAACGAGTTCATTGATGCATGTAAACAAGGGCACCATTTCCCATGCATTATTCTAAAGGAAATCTTAAGGAAAATCTGTCTAATTTCTAGGAAAATTTTAGAAAAATCCGCAAATTTCTGAAAAATGATCAGGAAGCTCGGAAAAATTCTGAAATCAGAGCCCCCGGAAAAAATCATGAACGTGTGGACAAAGCCCAAATATGCTGATCATTCTTCAATAGAGTGGTAGGCTCTAAATCAATACTAAAATCAATCTAAGAGGAATCCTAACATTCGCGTCGGTAGTCTGGTAGACAGGAATGTACAAGAAATGTAATTTAAAATCATTACAGAAAGTCCAGAGGACATGCTGCCTAGGTCAATGTTACACACCAACGAGAGATTTGGAGACCCTGTTGACATCCAAATACAATATTAAGCGACCGCCGCAACTTTAAGGCTTATAGCTATGAACGAGTAGATAGATACCGGATACAGTAGACCGTACCAAGTTATTGTACAGGCCAATCGTATCCTCAATAAACATAGGTAGGGACAGATTTCCATTTCAAAGGCATGAAAATCCCCATGAACATGCAGAACAACAACAACATCAAGTGTAAATACAAATGCAGAAACTTTTCACGAAAGTTAGCACACATCACTCTAGTCTTAATTCCGTACGCTGTGTCAAATTTCGTGCAAATCGAAAGATATATAAAGACTTTGGTACACCATTTACATAAAATCGGACGAAAATATATATAGGAGCTATATCTAAATCTGAACCGATTTTCTTCAATTTCAATAGGGTTCGTCCTTGGGCCAAATTTCATCCAAATCGGATCATAAATGCGACCTATACTTTGTTTACAATTTAACATCAACAGACGGACGGACATGCATAAATCGACTCAGAAAGTGATTCTATGCATATTCTCAAAAGGAACCATGTGTATTTCTCGTTTCCTTTTGCCTGTTACAAACGTATTTCACAAAGTCATAATACCCTGTACCACAGTGTGGTGAAGGGTATAAACAGCAGACTGCCAGAAATTCACACAGGACATAACAGCCTGAAGGCCCACATACACGAGCTTGTAGGCGAGGGAAGCAACTGGTGTACAGCGTGTGGAGGTGTAGAGCAGTAGAAAATGGCAGAGGAAATGTTCTAACCTTCCTTATCGTGAAGGTTAGAACATTTCCTCTGCCATTGCCCATCCTTTTCAAGCCTCCGAAAGCAATTCTTAGGAAATGACACCATTCGGGAAATAACCCACCTAAGGAGATTTGAATGAAAAAAACTGAAGGACTTTATAAACAAAATAGAAATTCTAAGTTTTGGGGAACCAATACCAAACATTACTTCTTCTAATTTTCTCAAATCTCTACACCTTTTTCACATGTTATACACAACATGTAAAATTCAATTCGAGAATTCCATTCGTAATTCACAACATATAATTTGTAATTCGAAAATTCCATTTGCAAAACATATCAGTTGTAATTCGAGAATTTCATTAGTAATTCATAAAATACCGTTCAAAATTCATAGAATTCCATTTAAAATTCGTATACTTTCATCTGAAATGCAAAGGATTGCATTTGAAATTAATAGCATTTCATTTGTTATTCAAAATTTTTAATTTTACATTCAAAAAATATTATTAGTAACACACAAAGAATATGTATGAATTTGAAATGAACTATTACGAATTACAACTGAAATATTAGCTCTTAATTACAAGAGAATTCATTGAATTGTAAATAAATTTCTTTGGAGTTCCAATGGAAATATACGAATTACAAATGAAATTCATTAAATTTCAAATGGATTTTTTTTTAAATTTCATATTAAAAGTTTAAAATTACAAATAAAATGTTGTCAATAACATTGACATAGGTGGAGATCTCCTCTTATCTGGATAAATCCAATCGGTGAAGATCTTCCCTTTTTAGAGTTAGTTTTGTGTTCGAAAATAGGCGATTTTCAAAAGAAATTAATAAATAACTTTCCGCCATTTTGTTAATTTTCGAGGGAAGTCAATAACCCAGATAAAGTCAAAATAAACGACTCATATATGTAAAATTACAAGTCTTTAACATAAAGAATACTTATTTGCCAGCCGATTGAAAATCGTCGAAATTAACTATCCAGTACTTTTTTTTATAGTAAAGCTAGTAAAAGGGGAAACATTTCAATATCGCTCTCAGTGTACAACATAAGTTCAGGAATGCAAATCTAGTAAATATGCCAAAATTAGATGGCAATATGTACTTCAAAATCAACATAACAGCCAATCAGAAGTAGGCATTCCTGCTTACCATTTTTATTCAGCCAAATTTCCCGAGTAAAAATTTTACAAAGAGAACGCCATTTTGTTTTGTGCTCTCTTAAATTTGATTCTACGTTTTGTCAGTTTTGTGGGTTCAGGGACGATTTGCGATTAAAATGTTGTAAAACTTGTAAAATTAGTAGATACCTTTAGGTTCTGGAACGGAACTTATTTATTTTTTATCATTTTGAAAATAACAAATACAAATTATCTATTTAATATCTGTAAAACATATGACAACATACAGATTACGTATAAACGTCGTCCATCATTTGTTTTTCTATGTAGCTAATTTAATTTCATTTGTCGTCTCGTAAATACTAAATAAATTGTCTACTAATCCAAAAAATACAACATTTCTCACTTTCCGTTTTCTTTTTTACAGTCTGAGTCTTCGATGGCTCCAACCGATACATTTTCCGAACGCGTCAAACGCTTTGATTTGGAATTTACCGGCCTCCTCATTGGCTTGTTGAAACAAATTAACGATGTGGCATCAGATAATCCATCGGATCGTTTCATAAATTTGGTACATCGAATTAATTTCAATTCATTCTATAACGAACAAATGGATAAATTGTGTGCCAAGGATTCAATGATGGGACATCATAATCATCAATAAATACGAATCAGCGCCCCTCCCCCCACAATTATGATATATATTAATAAGGCAACAACAACAATAAATACATGATGATTATAATTTTATTCGAATGCCATCAATAATAATGATAATTCATACAAAATAATACTCATACAAAAAATATACATACACACATACTTGCCGCCTTTGTCATACATTCATTCATACAAATTGTTGATGATTGCATAGATATTGTAATGAAATCTCATAATATACTATATGTTCACACAGAGCTATATATATATATACATTTATACATACATATGTTTGTGTTTCCCCCTTTTTTGTGCACAAAATAAAATAAAATATTGTTAAAACTTTAATTTTTGAATTTTTTTCTACAATTCCAAAAAATTTCGAACACAAAAAAGAAGTAATTACACATTTTGAAATACAAATGCAGTATGATGGTGACACACATCCAACATTTCACATTTGAATATCCGATTATATGTGTATTTGTTTATCAGCTGGCGCCTTTAATATTGGTGAAATTTAAGGATTATTTTCGCTATAGAGAAGAAAAGTAGATGAAGAGATGTTAGGGGAGATATCGCTGTTACAAACCAGAAGATAATTCTAACAAATTTTGGGGTCCTTAACTAAGTTGGCAGTAACAAATTACCCTCCCATAAGCCTTCCTATCCGTCGCTCCATTGGATTTTCGCTTTATTGATTTTATGTGCAGGGGCCGAACCTTATGAATGTACAGCCAGTCAGAGCGTTACAAATTAATGTACTACGCAGTCTGAAATATTGTTGTTTCGGTTCAATTCAGTATCATGAACCTGCTTCCATGGAAAATGGACAGAGTGGACCCACTACTGAATTCAGGTGAGGAGGACAGCAGTGTTGAATTATAGACACCATCTAATTTTTGTAACGATAAAGCCTGGATGCGTTATTCCTCTCCAATAACCAGGAAATGTATTGCAGATCTCCAAATTGTATACCGTAAGCAGCATAATCAATTATATGCTGTGAAACATAGAATTCTTCAGGGTAGGGTAATATCTACGAATATATTAAATCTCTAGCTTTCCGAAGCATCATTGTCGAATATTCAAATGTTCTCCACGAAATCTATTATACTTTCAGACTGTTTATCAATCACTTGGTCTATGGATATTAGACCGCCAACTATCCATTCTAAGGGTCAGGAACAGGAACTTGTCTACTAGATATACTCATTGGAGAAATATTCAGACTTATCATAACACTACCATGCGAGCTCCAACCGGTGGCTTTTCTACATGCGAAGGCGAAAATTCACCTCTTATCTCAGCATATCGATTTTCTTTCTTATTGCTCCAAATAATTCCAATCCTTCCTGATTTGCCTGTGAGTAATAAATGTTATCACCAACTCTGAAATACCCAAGAAGGTGCTAGTATTTCAGAGAGAGTCATTAATTGGTGAATTAAATTGATGACTCAGCAACAGTGATATGACGACAGTCAGACTAGATAGGGGTAACTCGAGACCCCTAATAGTAAATGCCGTCTATCTCCCATATGAGACTCCTGACCCACCCGGACCGGATGTACAAAACCATATGTAACATATGAGCAACATTGGCGATCTAGTCATTGCATGTGATGTCAGTGTCCATAATTTCCACAGGGATAGCAGTGACACAATTCAAGAGGTGAGTCCATATTTGATTTTATACTTAAATATAATCTTAGGATATGTAATTGGGGCAATACAGCAACGTTCGTAAATAGAGTGAGTGGCGAAGTCATTGACATAACTCTCACAAATAGGTACGAATCCTGCGTTACGAACTGTAAAGTATCTGAAAAATGCTGCTCTTGGACCATACGATGATACTTTTCCAGATTCCTACCTTTCGAGGAAAACAGAAACCTTGTAGGAACCCTCGGAAGACAAACTGGGATAAATTCAAAGGTAAAACAGCATCAACAACCCTTGGTCGCTTAGACCTCGGAACGATAGAGGGCGTTGAGAAAGTTGTGAACGATGTCACAGGCACAATTCTGAGGGGACTCTTTTGTCACAGGGACTCTTCTTGACCTTTGACATACCCTGGGAGGAAATCTCAGCCGATTTTGGTGTCAAAAAACCTAGAATCCTTGTGGAAGGCTGCTAGGAAATCTTATAATAAGACAAGTAAGACGAATCTTAGTACAGATGGATACGTTTACAGAAAACAATTCAATAGGTACCAAAGTGAAATCAAGAAGGTTAGACGCGAGTCTTCGGTGTGCTATAGCGAGTCAATCGAAGGAATGAACGAAGCGGCCAGATTTCGCAGATTAATACCTAAAAATCCAAAATTTATAGATAGAATTAAGCGAAGCGACGGAACGTGGAATAACTTTGGCAGAGACACTCATCAACCCAATTCCAACTTCGGTGTTCTAGGAGGAACGAAGGAGTGAACGAAGCGGCCAGATTTCGCAGATTAATACCTAAAGATCCAAAATTTATATATAGAATTAAGCGAAGCGTCGGAATGTGGACTAACTTTGGCAGAGACACTCTTGATCTTCTATCATCAACCCACTTCCCACTTCGGTGTGCTATAGCGAGTCAATCGAAGGAGTGAACGAAGCGGCCAGTTTTCGCAGATCTAAAGATCCAAAACTTATAGGTAGTATTAAGTGAAGCGACGGAACGTGGACTAACTCTCTCAGATACACTCTTCATCTTCTATCATCAAACCACTTCCCTAGTTGTATCGACCATAACGTCGAAGTGCGATATGCATATCCGCATTCGGTTCGAACCAAGGAAGAGTGGAAGTTGATAGAGAACACTATAAGCAACCCAATGCTTATATGCGGGTCCAGATGGCATAGTACCGACCATGCTTAGGGCTTGTCTGCTTTTATCGTATACACGTAAGTCTTGAGTGTGCAATAGCGATCAATCGAAGGAGTGAATATCTAAAGATCCAAAATCTATAGGTAGAATTAATCGAAGCGACGGAACGTGGACTAACTCTGGCAGAGACACTCTTGCTCATCTATTGTGAACCCGCTTCCCTGGTTGTATCGAGCCTAACGTCGAAGTGCGATATGTACGTCGGCATACTGTTCCAACCAAGGAAGAAGAGAAGCTGATAGAAAACGCTATAAGCAACCCAAAACTTGTATGGGCAAATCCCCGGGTCCAGATGACACTTTCATCCCTTCTACTTAGGACTTTAGAAATGTGAGTAGACTCTGAAATAAGGACCATTATCAAACCAAACAAAATTAGTAAATCCCAGCATGCCTATATCAACGGCAAATCAGTGAACACTGCCTTACATGAGTTGATCGGTCTTATCGAGAAGAATATGGATACATATGGTTACACATTGGCTTCGTTCCTTGACATTGAAGGAGTCTTCAACAATTTGAAGCTGGAAGCTATCCATTCTGCACTCGACAGTTCCCCTCGCTCCTAACGAATAACCGATCGATAGAATGCTTGAATGCAGAATTATCAATTCTATTGATAGAATACCTTTTCAAATAATTGTTACTCCTAGATATGTTTTTTAATTAAAGCTTCCGGGATCATAGTTCCGCTAAACGCACTTACTGATTAGTTATACCTTGAGACTTATTGGTCTGTTAAGGGGTAAATTTTTTCATTTAATGCATTCATTCATTATGGATTTGTTTTTCTTCCATTTTAATGAATTTCGCCAAAAAAGTCAAGTATCAAACTTTGTGCCCTTCAACCTTCCACAATTTATTAGTTACACCATTTAACATTTCATCCAAAATCAAAATGCATTTGGGCATTTATGGACACAGAACTATTTGAAAAGCCAATGAACATGATTACGGTTTTAATAATTCTCTTGCATTTTTGAAAAACAAACAGAAAACCGACGTCGACAACAACAAAAACAAAAACAACCTGCACAAAAAGGAAAAAAAAAACAACAACAACGACAACAAGAAATATTCGAAAATGCAAAATCAATTTTCATGTTGTGAAGTTAGTAAAATTGGCAATAAATACCACAGATACATCAACGTTTGAGGTTTGCGTAATGTGTGTCGTTCCGCATATGATAGCATACGAGTCCATATATATGTACAAATGTATGTATGTATGTGCGAATGTTTGTTGCAGTTTCCATACTGCAGCAGTACATTTGTTTCATTTACATACACCAAAATATATAAATATGTACTTATATGTATCCAAACATACATACATTTGCCAATTATCCTGCTAGCTGCAATATCTGTTTGTATGTATGTACTTATGTGTAAGTATGTACTTATATATATATATATATATATATATGTGTGTGTTTGTCCATAAGTCACATTTCCACATATGAAATCAACCATGGGCTAACTAAAGGTAACACATACACATGTAAACCTCCTTGAACATGGTTCTATAAAGAGCTTTAAAAAATATCAGAATTATTCGAACGTTACGAAAAGGAATCCATATTTCATATTGAATTGAAATAGCTCAGAATCCCTTGGGAACTATGTATACTATGGGGACAGATCAATATTGACTACGGGATTCTTGTATGACAGCTGAAAGTAGTATAGGGGTACCCATTCCGTGGTTTCGAAGGCATGGGACTGGAATTCGACATCTGTCAAATGATGTTGTTAAGCCAATTTGTTCTTTTCAGTTGCAAATCTGACACTGGCCTAAACGGATCGCTTAAGGGACCCCCATTCTCAGTTTCAAACAATCGTTTGTTTATATGAAGCTATAACTTCTCAAGAATGAGACATTGAGGTAATTTTGAAGGTTGTCAAGTGTAATAAATTCGATTTTTTACATCGATGTGTGGCAGTGGAAAAAATAGGGTTTCATAAGTTCATCCCGAAGTCCAATTGACATTAATGCGAGGGGACTGAATGCTCTGAATCAACTACAAATCTTCTTAACAAAAATTATCAATATTGATCCACTTTTTCGGTTAGCCCCCCTATATTATGGTACCTCCAAAGTTTCCATTCTTTTTTTTTTGAATTCCTATTGAGGGGACCCCCATTCTCGG